AGATTCTTTCTCCCTTAACCTTCTACCATGTCTTCTTTCCCAAGCTTCAGTCATCTTTTTTTTTTCTGTGCTTGGGTTCCTGAACTTTATTGGGTAAAGTTCTCCCACGCTTTAGATAAGCTGTCTCATTTAGCATTTTAGTGCTTTAGATAAGCTGTCTCATTTAATTCAGTCTTTAGAAGACCCCTGGGAAATACTGTTACCCATTTCATGGATGATGGAACTGAGGCTCACAGAGGTTTAGTGACTCACCCAGGAACACTTGGCTCATATACACAGATTTGGGATTTAAACCCAGATCTCTCTGCATTCCTCTGGCCCGGTTCCAGTTTATTCTGTGTAGTCTCAATTGTGTGCTCCGTGTTTTTTCTTTGTTTCTTATTGACTATTTGACACATTCAGACCTTTTCTTCTCTTCTTAAACTTTGAACCCAAACCCCAATGCATAGTAGATAATTTAACCTACTGCTTAACTGAAAGGATTGAGCACATTCAGCAGAATCTCCTTAAGCACTATTTTCTACTTATGCTCTCTCATTTCTCTGCCTCATTGCGAATACAGTACTTTCTATGTTCCTGATTCTTTTCTCTTCTCACTGAGGCTTGTTTCATGATTTATTCCTATTTCAAGCTCTCCTTTCATACTGATTATTTTTCTTCTACTTTAAAAAGGGTGGGGGGTGGATCCTGAAAAATACCCATTAGATTTAGCATTTCTATGATCTTAGCAAGAGACATGTGAGCAGAGTAATGCATACAGATCCCAGGACGGAGAGGGTTGATGACTGAATAGGAGATGTGGAATTGAAAATTAGTGCAGACGTTAAAGAAAGCTTAAAATGAAAAATGGAGGGGGGGCTGCATGATTGACAGAAGGGTTTGTTTGTTTTTTCTAAAGATAGATTTAAGTATGATAACATCCTAAAAGGAAAGTGAAAAAAGGGAGAGGTTTATGGAGTAAAACCTCAGATTCATAGGATTAGCTTTTATAATACAAACTATCAAATCTTTATAGACCCGTCTGAATCCAGGGCTTTTTTTCATTTGCTCAACAAGAAGTTTTTATTTCTTCTCTAATTTTTTGTAGCAGCTCATGTATATCTCATCATACTTGCCACATATTCTCTTGAATTATATGATGCAAAATGTCAAGAGCCCTGCTGTCTTGGTTTGATTCCTGGCTTTACTATTACGAGCTATGTGACTTTGCACAAGTTACTGATTCTTTCAGTACTCAAGTCTTTTTATCTGTAACATGAGGATAATAGTAACTACTCATTCTTATGAGAATTAACATTTGTAAAACTCTTAGAACAGCCATTTTCCTCCTACTAAATTGTAACATCCTTAAGAATCTGTTTATATTACTTAGTATACCCAGCATAATTCATATAATAGTTCAGAATTTTATATTTGAAGGAATGATGGAATACACTCTGCTTTTGCAGGTTGGTGATTGAGTATAAGAATTCAATTGAGAATCACCGTCTACACACCCTTTCTTCCCTATAGTGATACTCAGATCCCAGTAGGACCAAATGCCAGACAGCTGCAAGGTACTGAACCTTGATAATTTTAGCCAAGAAGACTTGGGTGGGGATGTGGGATAGGAAAAATGAGAGAACTCCAAGTGGAAGTGGGAGGATGTAGTCAACAGGCAATAAAATTCTCTGTTGTGAAAGTTAGTGTATTATTTTGGCCAAAAAAGCTCTTAATGGGAGTTATAAATATCCCCTGAAGCAGTCAAGGCTAATCACCATCCAAGTGGTGTCCTTTGCTTTGAGGAACACCAAACCAAGATAGCTTCTATGACTAGAGTTTTAGTGAGTGGAAAGAAGTAGGGTAAACAGGATAATTTGGGTGATTGGGAAAAGATATGCCTCAACTGGCTGAGGGACTAAGGAAGAAACAAAAATAGATTACATTTTTACTCTCAGGCCCATTGCCTTATTTTGCCTTTCCTTCTACATTTTTTATTACTGGTTTTGGGGAATTCCTGAATTACAGGGGAATTCTCTAAAGCAGGGATCTCAAATACTGGTTTCATCCCTTATACTTCCTGATGTGTGGTACTGAGAAGGAATTTAATAGGAAAGAATGCCTTGATCAGGTAGCAGTGCCTCCCATAACTTAAGGAGAGGATTGGTAGGAGAGCCCATTCCCTGCAATGCCTCTTATGCTTAAGACTGACCAAAGATGAATAGATTATCTAGATAATATTATATGGTTGATGTTGTGATGTTTAATTATATAGAAAAAGACTTGCAACTCTGACATTTTTTGATTGGCAGTCTTTCAGTGTAGTAACTCAAATGACCTCTGGTTTCATCTATCCATTTAGCTTCACTTTTTTTAATTGAAAGTTTTTTGCAGTATCATGGCCTTCATGGCAACCCTATTTTGTCCTTTAAATGGGATTAATACTCAATGCCTTATCTTCTCTTTCATGTATACCTGGTTTCTTATGTTTTTTTTCTATTAATAGACTTTATTCTTTAGAGCAATTGTAGCTTTGTAGCAAAATGGAGAAGGAAGGTACAGAGATTTCCCATATACCCCCTACCTTCATTCATATATAACCTCCCCCATTACCAGCATCCCCCACCAAAATTGTACATTTGTTTCCATTGATGGGCCTATATTGACACATCATTGTCACCCAAAGCCCATAGTTTACATTAGGGTTCACTCTAAGCTTTGTGTGTTCTGTGGCTTTGGACAAATATATAATGACTTGTATCCACCATTACAGTATCATACAGAGTAGTTTTATAGTCCAAAAAATCCTGTGTGCTCCACTTATTCATCTCCCACCCCCCATAACCCCTGATCTTTTTACTATCTCCATAGTTTTATATTTCCCAGAATGTCATATAGTTGGAATTACACAGTATGTGTACCTTTTCAGGCTGGCTTATTTCACTTATTAATATGCATTTAAGTTTTTCCATGTCTTTTCCTACCTTGATGGTGGCTCATTTCTTATTAGTGCTTAATAGTATTCTGTTCTCTGAATTTACTACAATTTATTTAACCATTCACCTGCTGAAGGACATCTTGGCTGCTTCTAAGTTTTGGCAGATATGAATAGAGCTGCAGTGAACATCCCTGTGCAGGCTTTTGTGTAGACATAAGTTTTCATCTCCTTTGGGTAAATACCGAGGAGCAAGAGTTCTGGATTATATGGTTAGAGTACATTTAGTTTTTAAAGAAATCACCAAACTATATTTCAAAGTGACTGTACCCTTTTGCATTCCCACCAGCAAGAAATGTGAATTCTCTTGCTCCAAATGCTCACCACCATGTGATGTTGTCAGTGTTCTGGATTTTAGCTATTCTGATAAGGGTGTAGTGGTATCTCATTATTGTTTTAATTTGTATTTTGCTGATGGTATATGATGTACAGCATCTTTTCATATGTTTATTTGCCATCCTTATATATTCTTTGGTGAGGTGTCTGTGAAGGTCTTTGACTAATTTTTATTGAATTGTTTTCTGATTGTTGAGTTTTAGCAGATATTTCATTATTTTGGATAATAGTCTTTTGCAAATATTTTCTCCTAATCTGTGTTTTTTTCTTTTTATTCTCTTAACTGTATCTTTCACAAAGAAGAAATTTTTAATTAAATGAAAATTTAATTAAACTGGCTTACCAGTTTTTTCTTTCATGGATTGTGTCTTTGGTGTCCTATGTAAAAAGTCATCTAGGTTTTCTCCTGTTATCTTGTTCTATAGTTTTGTGTTTTATATTTTGGTCTGTGATCCATTTTGAGTTAGTTTTTATGAAGGCTGTCAGTCTTTGTCTTGATTCACTTTTTTGTAATGTGAATACCCACTTGTTCCAATACCATTCTCCTTTGTATTGCTTTTGCTTCTTTGTCAAAGATCCATTGAGTGTATTCATGTGACTCTCTTTCTGGGTTCTCTGTTCTGTTCTAATGATCAATGATCTATTTGTCTGTTCTTTGGCCACTACCACATTATCTTGATTACTGTAGCTTTAAAATATGTATTGAAGTCAGATAATGTCAGTCCTCCAACTTTGTTCTTCTCCTTCAATATAGTATTTGCTATTCGGGGTCTTTATCCTCCCCCAAAACTTTAGACTCAATATGATGATACCCCAAAAATAACTTGCCGGGATTTTGATTGGGATTACATTCAGTCTGTAGATCAAGTTGAAAAGAACTGACATCTTGACAGTATTGAGTCTTTCTGTTGATGAACATGGAATATCACTCCATTTTTTTTCTTCTTTGTATATTTAATTTAATCTGTTTTGTAATCTTTAGAAGGCACTTTTTCTAAGTCACTTCAGAAGTATTTTACAGAGTTTTCCTGTCCTCTTAGATTCACTTGCTATTAAATTTGTTCCTTTTTATACTGGCTTTCTAAGAGTTTTTTCTTCCCCTTTTTAAATATCTGTGATGCCTAGCCAAATATGATTTCTGGTATTGCATAGCAAAATTGTTCCTAGAATTAAATTAAATCACCTTATCTACATAGTTCACATCCATAAAAAGGAAATAAAAGAGCATTATAGTGCATTATCCTTGCCCTCAAGGAGCTTGTAGTTTAGTTAAGAAACCACACTTAAACATATGAAAAGTAAGACATATAGATAATAATTCTAGTATTAAGTCATAGAGGAGTACCTGATTAATATGTAATAATTGAATGGATAATTCTGACTCTGGAATTTACAGAAGGAAGTGATTTACTTTAGTAAATCACTTTAGTTGGGTTTTTCAGGGAAAGCTTTATTGGGCTCATGGAAATTGAACTTCTGAAGTATGAATAAATTTTGGAAAAGAGAGATTAATCCAGATTTCTTACAGATGAGTTTCACATTACTTCGTCCTTCAGTTTTTTCTTAAAAAAACTTTAAATGAACTATTTCATTTTAGTTGTATTTTCTACCCAATATAGTTATAACAAACACTCGAAAATGTTTGCCATAAGAGTTGCCTTCAATTTTCTATTGCTGTGTTTTGTCACAGGCATCCTGATTTTCAGCTGCTACAGGAAGGACAAAGGTATGGTTGAATCAGTATTACTTACCTTCTGTATATTCATGTTAATAGAAACATTAAGAGTAAACCAGGTGATATGAGCTCTTGGTCTTCCTGTGTTGATGCATTATGTAAGTGCCCATTTTAGCCCACACAAAGAAATATTTGCCTTGTACAGCTTTTTCTTTTGTGATAGTAAGATGATGTGTTTGATCTGTATGATTTATTGTACAGCTGTTCCTACCAAGGCAATCTAATTGAACCCGTTGAAATATGACACAAACACAGCTTCCATCTGAGATACTGTGCTTCTTTGTCAAATAGATTATACCAATTATATTTGTCGAAAGGTTTTTATAGTCTTATAGGATTTCAGAACTTAATATATCACTTATTATTTGGAAGAGTGTCGAAAGCATTAATAGAAATTCAAAGTTGTGATATTTTCTAAACTCTTGTGGTGGTGGTTGCCCAACTATAACCATCTCTCAAAACATTTTTTTTATCTTTTATCAGGATAAATTTTCCTGATTATTAGTTGCTACCTTAGCACATGGAATTGAGCACATGTGAGAGATATTTATTGATACATATTTTTAATTTACATATTTAAAGTAATATAGAAAAATATAATTACCTTAAAATTCCAAGAGAAATTATGAAACGTGAAAGTCAAATTGTTCTAATTTTTTTGAAATTATACTTACTTCAAATACAGGAAATAGTCCCATGGCTATATAGACTAGATTCTAACTAAAAAATGATATCTAGTACTGAATAAACTTGTCATCTTTTCTTTATTCCCATCTACAACCTTATTTTCAACTCTTTTTCTTTTTCTTTTTTTTATATTTCTACCTAGCATGCTTTTTTTATTTCTATTGCATTATTTTATTTCATTTTTTAATCATTTAAAAAATTAATAGCCCCTTTAGGGAGCAATTTTAGGTTTACAGAAAAATTGCCTGAAAAATAGAAAGTTCCCATATACTGTCTTACCACCTCCTGCCCCCCCGCTTGACCCAGAATCCTTACCCTAATCTTTTAAAGTTTTGATATGTGCATTTGCTTGAAAGTAGCTGCTTATCTATCATTGCATATCTCAAGTTTGTATAGACACAGCTGATTGAAAATTGAAGGAACATAGTCAAAGGGAAAACTATTTTTTATTGTTAGCATTATGTTGTAACTCTGGGTTTTCAAATATATCTTTCATCAATAAATGTTAATTTGCCAACTTTATTTTCTGCTATGACTTTCTGGTGTTTTTTATTCTATGGAATTTTCTGTATAACTATCAACCAGAATTGGAAAATTTTAAACGTGTCTTTTTATCCTGTTATCTTTCAAAATCTAAGCAGAGTTGCTGTAATATGTTTTTTGGACAAAGTGAGAGTGAAGTTTTCAAAAGAAAATCTTTTTTTAAAAAAGGTATATGAAATAGTCACAGAAATATAACAGGCAAAAATCAAAATAATTCATTAGGATGGAATTATCAAAGCTTTTTTTTTCTTTTTGCTGTACTCTTAACACTTTTTAAATAATGGGAAAAAAAGATGGAAAGAAGTTGGTGGAATTATAACAAATAAAATATAGAGAAAGTATAGATTTATAGTAGTCTTTGGAAGTGTGTGTATGTGTGTGTATATACATATCTATATGCTTATAAATGAGGCTTTGCCTAGGGAGTACAAACTTTTACCTTGGAAGTAACAAAATATAAATGCTATGGGACGTTTTGTTTTTCCATTATAGTTATTTTGTTTCTTTCCTTCTACAGTGGCCATTCTGGAAAGGAAGTACAGTTATGCACTAAGGCCATTAAAACATCAGATATTGACAATCCTGGCCATTTTGAGAAGCATTATAAATCTAGTTCTTCTAGCTCTCATGGTGATAGTAGCAGTGATAATGAGCAAGACTTTGTTTCCTCCATTCTACCAGGAAACAGACCAAATGCAATGGGTGTAAGTCCACAGCTGCACAAAAAAAGCATTATGAAAAAGAAAGCTGGTCAGAAAGCTAACTCTAAACATGAAGACAAAGAACAGACAGTAGTAGGTGTCACTGAGCAGCTAGGCAATTGCAGAATAGATAGTCATGAGAAAGCTGCTGCTTGTGAACTTCCTTTACAGAAAGTAAGTACTCAGATTTCTTCAAATAGTCCTTTGCAAGAAAAATTAGAAGCTACAGAAAATTCTGAAAATAAATACAGTAGTTCAAAAATAACTCTAGTAGGCATAAGTAAGAAAAGTGCTGAGCATTTTAAGAGGAAATTTGCCAAATCAATCCAAGTTTCTAGGTCAGCCTCTAGTCCGATGCAGATGTGTCCTGAAGTTGCAAAGGCAAACTTACTTAAAGTCCTGAAGGAGACTTTGATTGAATGGAAGACAGAAGAAACTTTGAGGTTTTTGTATGGCCAGAATTACGCTTCTTTGTGTCTGAAACTCTCTTCAGCCCCTCTGGTTAAAGAACAAGAACTTGATGAAGATGACATACACTCTGACCCAGATAGACATTCCCCTGCCTTGCAGGAATCTCAGCACAGCTTGGATGAGTCTTTACCTTTTAGGGCCTCAGATACAGCCATTAAACCACTGCCAAGTTATGAGAACTTGAAAAAAGAAACTGAAACATTGAATCTGAGGATAAGGGAGTTTTATAGAGGACGATATGTTTTGAGTGAAGAAACCACCAAATCACAAGACTCAGAAGAGGTATGTCTTAATGATGATAAGTTTTCTATGCTGCTAGCATATGGGACACTTAACCATAATAAATCTTGACACAGGAGTAATATTAAAGAGATAATTGTTAAATTTTCAGAAGGTTTGTTTAGTTGATCAGTTTTTTGGTTTAAAATGCCATCTCCAGGGGCGCCTGGGTGGCTCAGATGGTTAAGCATCTGCCTTCGGCTCAGGTCATGATCCCAGAGTCCTGGGATCGAGTCCCTCATCAGAGGCTCCCTGCTAGGCGGGGAGACTGCTTCTCCCTCTGTCTCTGCCTCTTTCTCTGACTCTCATGAATAAATAAATAAAACATTTAAAAAAATAAATGAATAAAATAAAATGCCATTTCCAGAGGCACCTGGGTCGCTCAGACCATTAAGTGTCTGCCTTCAGCTCAGTTCATGATTCCGGGGTTGTGGGATCAAGCCCCATATCCGGCTCCCTGCCCAGAGGGGAATCTGCTTGAGATTGTCTCTCTCCTTCTCCACCACCCCTCCCCCCTGCTGCCACTCGTGTTCTCTCTCTCTCATAAATAAATAAAATCTTTTTAAGAAATGCCATCTTCAGTATTGGCATCACAATTTTCCAAATAAGTTGAAATTTGGCCCCAGAAAATTTCATAAATGTGCAGTATTTTTCTCTAATATAGAAATAGCCTAGAATTGTGGGATAAAGTTTTCTTTAAAACCTAGTTCTTTATATAATATGTAGACTCTCTGAAGAGTTTTTTTTTTCCTACCAACAAATATTCTTTGTATTCTTGTGTTCTTTCAAATTTCTGCATGGGGTGTGTATCTTCGTATTTTATTTCCAATGGGACTATATACAGTGGAGTAGACTTACTAGTTGAATGGTAAAAATATTTGTATAGTATTTGGCAAGCATGCCCATTCAAAATAATATCAATGCAAATAATATAGTAAAGGAGACTTATTGGGAAATAATGGACATAAGAGAAAGTAGAAGGAGCACATCAGACCTAGATTTTATTTTATTTATTTATTTTTTTAAGATTGTATTTATTTATTTGACAGAGAGACATAGCAAGAGAGGAAATACAAGCAGGGGGAGTGGGAGAGGGAGAAGCAAGCTTCCCAGGGAGCAGGGAGCCCGATGCAGGGCTCGATCCCAGGACCCTGGGATAATGACCTGAGCCAAAGGCAGACGGTTAACGACTGAGCCACCCAGGCGCCCCCAGACCAAGATTTTAATATTTGCTCTCTCATTTACTTAGCTGTATGAAAAGTTGGTCTCTTGAGTCTGAGTGTTCATCTGTAAATGAGACTATAAATAGCTTTCCTTGTTCAGTTGTTAAGAATTTTAAAAATAATGTATGTAAATTTACATACAGTTAGTACTCAGTAAATAGTAATTATCTATAGAGATACAGTTAGTACTCAGTAAATAGTAATTATCTATAGAGATTAAATGTATGTTGCTGAGATTAAGGGGGAGGGGTTCTCTCAATATTTTTCTTACCCAGGTTTGTTTTGATGTATAGCTTGAGAAATGAAGTTAATAAAGAAGACTAGGCAATAACCTTGTTTTCTGACAAAACTTTGTTATTAAAGATTTCTGAGTAAATGTGGCTCTAAATTTAAGAACACATTTGGAAGGACAACTGGGTGGCTCAGTTGGTTAAGCGTCTGCTTTTGGCTTGGGTTATGATCTTATGGTTCTGGGATCGAGTCACATGTCGGGCTCCCTGCTCAGTGGGGAGTCTGCTTCTCCCTCTTACTCTGCTACTCCCCTGCTTGTTCTCTCTGTCTCAAATAAATAAGATTTAAAACACACACACACACACACATTTGGAGATTTAGAAAGAGGGTGAAAGTGGAAATACAGTAAAAATTTAGAAATTTCTTGTACTTCTACAGAATGCTCCCTAGCCCAGTACTATATTTTAAATTGCTTCAATTGTATTACTATACAGTATTCATAAGTTTTATAGTAAGCTTGGAGAAACCTTGATCTCTGTCACTCAGCTGCATAAAACTACATTAATGTATCATTTGTTTTATCATTTTTGTGCTATAAGCCTTAAACAAGAAAAATTACTTAAGAAAATTGTTCCTCTGTTGCATAATATTTTAAAACTTTTTCATTGAAGTATTAAGTGTACAACTCACTATCACAAAAGAACATAGCCTAGTAATCATTACCCAGGCCAAGATATTTGAGTAAAACAAAAGCCCCACTATGTCTCCTAATTATTACCCCTTTCCAAAATGAATAACTATTATAATAACATGGATGAGTTTTGCCAGTTTTGAACTGTAGTAAATTCACATAGTATATATTCTTTGGTTTCCTGTTTATTTCATGCATTGTTATGTTCATGAGTCATTTGTGTTGTTCCATGTGACTATAGTTCATTCTTTCATTGCTGCATAGTATTTCATAGAAATATGCCACAATTTATTCATATTAATGAGCATTTAGGCTTTTCAGTTGAGGGCTGTAGTGTTCTGAACTTTCTTGTCTATGCCTCTCTTCTAAGGTACATGTATTTCTGTTGGGTGTGTATCTAGGACTGGAATTTTTGGGTCATGATGTATGTGTATATGCGACTATATTGGATGGTGCCAGTTTTCCAAAATGGTTTTGCCAATTTTTATTACACTATGATTGTATGAGTTTCCACAATTCCACCTTCTTGACCAGTACTTGATATTGTTACTTTTTACCATTTCAGTGGTATTGGGTTTTGGTTATAATACATTTCTCTAATGATTAATGAGTTGAGCACTGTTTCATTTGCTTTTTGACCATTTGGAATGTCACTTTTGTTAAGTGTCTTTTCAAGTCTTTTTCCCATTTATCTGTTGCAATATCTAGGTATTTTTTTCTTACTGATTTTGTAGGAATTCTTTATTCACGATTCAAATCCATTTTTACTTGTGTATTTTGCAAATATCATCTTCCACTCTGAGACTTGCCTTTTCACTCTCATTAATGATATCTTTGGTCCAGTTTATTAATTGTTCTCATTAATGATATCTTTGGTCCAGTTTATTAATTGTTCCCTTTAGTGACTTCTTTAGAAATCTTTGTTATAGCCCAGGTTATTTCATCTTCTAGATTGTTTTTCCCTTCACAGTTAGATCTGCAGTTCACCTGAAATTGATTTTTATGATGAGGAGTTTGGGTCAGATTTCATTATTTTCCTTTGGGGAAATGTGTGCATATTAAAGTTTGAGAAACACTGTTGATTGGGGGAGGGCGGGGAGAGGTGTTATTCATTCTGTTAGTTACTGAGAGAGGTGAGAGAGGTGGGTAAAAAATCTGTCACTGTAATTATGGATTGGTTATTTTTACTTTCAATTTAGTGAATTTTACTTTTAATATTTTGAGACCATGTTATATGGTGTTAAAAAAAAAAGATTGTTATGTCTTCCTAGTAAATTGAACCTCGACATTATGGAGTGACCTTTCTCTACATTGATAAGTTTTTTTTCTTACTGTCTGTTTTGCCGGCATTAGCATTCTTTTATTAGTATTTTCAGGACTCTTTTTACTTAGGCTGATAATTGTTTTTATGTGGAGAATTTAGTCTGTTTACATTCAATGTCATAATTGATATATTTGGGTTTAATTCTGCCATCTCACTCATTGCTTTCTGCTTATCCCATCTATTCTGTGTTCCTCTTTCTCTCCTTTCCTGCTTTCTTTGAATTAAATATTATTATTTCATTGTTTACTCTCTGTTAGCTTTTTATACTTTATTTTACTAATCAGAAGTGGTTACTATAAAGATTAAAACCTGAATTATTATAAAAGTCCAATATAAGTTAATTTTTTTGCTTCCTAGACAGTACCTTAGAAACTTTAATTCCATTTACCCTCTCTGTGCTTATGTACTCTTGTTGTCTGTTTTTATTCTCTCTATATTTTAAATCCTATAAGACGATTTGTAGTCAGTATTCAGCTGGAGTTATTCACTTAATTACTCTTCCACTATTTTTCATTCCTTCCTGCATCTCCATTCTTCTATCTGGGATCATTTGCCTTGGACCTGAAGAATATCCTTTATTTTGATTAGTGCAGTTCACTAATGATGAATTTCCTCAGTTTTTATCAGAAAATTCTTTATTTTACTTTCACTTTTGAAAGATATTTTTCTGGGTATTCAATTCTAGATTAGCATTTCTTTTTTTTTTTTTCTCAGTCTATTGAAAATATTTCCTTGTCTTTTGGCTTCCATTTATTTCTCTTAGAGCTGCTTCTTTGAAAACATTGTTTTTCTTCCGCTAGCCATTTTTAAGACATTTTTTTGTCTTTGTTTACCATCAATTTTAGAATGCTTTGCTTAGGTGTGATTATAATTGTATTTATTCTTTTGGCTGTTGTAATACTTGAATCTTGATTTCTTTCATCAGTTTTGGAATATTCTCAATTATCTTTATAGGTACTGCTTTTGTCTCATTCTTACTTTCCTCTCTGTCTGGTACTCCAGTTACAGACATGTTAGTCTTTGTCATTGTGTCTCATATTCTTTTATGCTTTGCATTATGTGTGTATGTGGGGAGGAGTGTTGGGTGTGACTGTGCTTTATTCTGAGTATTTTCCAAATCTGTATTCTCTCTTCAGTCATTTCTATTATATTATTAAATATATCCATTGAGTTCTCACTTTTGAATACTGTATTTTTCAGTTTGAGAATTTTCATTTGATTCTTTTATATAATTTCTAGTTCTCTGCAGAAATTTTTAGTCTTGTCATTTTTCTTTGAATATATGTACATAGGTATTTTAAATAAAGTTGATAACTTCCATTACCTGTATTCCCTGGGGGCTGTTTTCTATGGGGTAATGTTTGAGATTTTGACCATATTGTCTTCTTTTTGTTTTATTATATGGCAAACATTGTATATTAAAAATTACAGATAACTTGAGACCCAAACTGATGTTATCTTCCTCTAAAACAGATTTATGTTTGCTTCAGGCAGATGATTTGTAGCGGTTCCAAATCGCTTAATTCAATCAGGGATTAAGATGATTTGAAGCTGGACTCCAGTCCCTGTAAGAGCCAGTCTGTTTCCTATTCATTCTTAGTCCTAGAATATGGTCCTTCTAAGTCAAGCTTGGAGGGAAGGGTTGCCAGTACCTCTTCCTTCTTGGCATTCCCCAAGCTTTAATGCTTATTAGAAAAACAATGCTCACGTTCTCAGTATCTGAATTGCTTCTTCTGGAATTAGTCACTGCCCTCTCTGGAATTACCTTCTCTAGAATCTCTTGGCCTTAATTCTTTACTGCCTTGTTAGTTCTCTGATGTTTTCAAACAAATGTGGGTATTTTCCCAGTGTTTTTTCAGTTCTCAGCAGGAAGGATGGTTAGAATTATTTTGTCTGCCATTTCTAGAAGTGGAATTCCCCATAATATATATATAGTATCTGCTAATTTTAAAGCTTTCATCTCCAACATTTGTATAGCATTTAGTAGTTTACAAAGTTCTTTTGTATACATTTTCTCATTTAATAAAGAAGGTATTAGTATCCCTTTATACAGATGAGAAAAATTTCTCAAAAGCAGGCATATGACTCAAGTTCACATCAGCCCAGTGACTGAACCAGTGCTCAAATTTAAATCTTCTAATAATTCTCAAGTCTAGTTTTTTTCTACCATACCCCAAGTGTGAACTTTTGTGTTTTACTCTTTATTGTTCTTGTCAAAGAAGAATGTAAATTTATGATTTTGCTTTGTTTTGTTTAAAAATGTGATTCAGCCTGATCCCACCTTTCCACTGATAGATTCAAGTTCTCAGAACCAGATTAGAAAACGCATCGTACTTGAAAAGTTGAGTAAAGTGTAAGTATGTAATTGTCATTCCACTTTACAATATTTAAAATTAACTTGGTATTTGTGGGTTCATAATTTATATTAATTTTTATCCTTGAGTTTTGAACAGTTTGAAAAATAATGTGAAAAGTTTACATGGATGTCTTTACCTGAGAAATTGAGGTTTTTAAGATATCCTGCCAAGGAAATATTGAAATTAAGTTTTGTGTGGAAGACACAGAAGTACATAATAAAGAGGAAGGTTGAGATTATGGGAGTAGAAGACTAAAGTCTGTCACTTCCACTTAATAATCAGTGAAGTCAGGGAAAAAAATATCAAAGCTAGACCATTTAAATACTGATTTGTGGTATATGTGTCACATCAGTTTCACGTGTGAATGAAACTTTATGAAGTTTTAACGGTCTGTTAACTCACTCTGCATACATATTTATAGAACCATTTCACACTCAGCAACTTAAGAGTTTTTGTTCAAGTCAACTTTGCACTTTAGTTTTAAACTTCCCATGGTGGAAATTATTTTTCTTGTAATTAGCCCAGTCATAAATGACATTTAAAAATTGTAATCTTGGTTTGTCTTTCAAAGGAAGTTTGAAAATCTTTTTCCCAGAGGTGTGAGGGCTGTCTTGAACTTTTCAATTTCTGTTTTCTTTCTTTAGCAGTAAAAATGTAAAGGTGTTTTCAGTCATTGTTTAAGGTCTGCATATGGATTAGGGGCACCTGGCTGGCTCTGTGGGTGGAGCATGCAACTCTTGATCTCACTCAGGGTTGTGAGTTCAAGCCCCATGTTGAGTGTAGAGATTACTTTAAAATTAAAAAGAAAAAAAGGCTGTGCATATGGAGTAGTCTTAATTTTGTAGTAGCAATGATAAGAAAAACATATCTTCTGGAAGCCTTAGTATTTTGAGCAGCCTACTCCTCTAAGTTTTACATTTTAAATAACTATTTAATATTTATTGAGTTCCTCTTATGTTAGGTTCCTCACAGATAATAAATCTGTTATTAGTTTTGCCTTTTATATGGTCCTCATACTTAGACATTTGTTTCTGTTTGATATTAGGTTAGAAAATAATAAAAGTCACCATGTGTCTGATTCATAGGACAAGATCTCAATCCTTGACTGTGGTTACACAGGTTTTGAAAGTTAGGTTGGATTATTGATACTTGTGTGTAATCAGTGGATAGGGATTTATCTGAAAATAGTTTTCTAGACTTTTTAGCTAATGAAAGTACCCAGTTTTAAATTTAAGACCCCATAGTTATGCTATTGAAGGAATTCTGTTTTTTTCTGGGTTTTGGCTGCAACAGAAAATGCCAGAGTTCTCACCAGTCAGAAACTAGCTTAACTGCCTCTACCTAAGTGCCATTATTACCTATGGAAAATCCAGACTTAGGCAAGAATCAAAGAATATGTCTGTATAATTAAATTATGTTTTAAAGGAAATCTAATTTTTTATTTTCAGAGTGCCTGGACTTGTGGGGCCTCTTCAGATCACATTAGGAGATATTTATGCACAACTGAAAAATCTCATCCAAACTTTCAGGTTGGTGTTAATAATGAAATTTTCCTTTTCAGTTATTTTAACTTCCTGTGATTGCCTTGCAGAATCCATAGAAAGACTGTGTTACCTAATGATCTATCACAACCACTAACTCAGGAAATGAATGGATAAACCCTGGCATGCTGCCATGGCCAACTGTTCCATCCTAGGAAATCCTGAGGGGGCTTGACTAATCAAAAGCATAGCTCCTGGCTGGATTTGCCCACACTGTTGTTGAACAAACTTGGATAAACTTGTCCCAAGAGAAGCCAATAACTCAAGAGACAGGAGTTTGGAAAAGAGAAAGAGAAAGATTTATTTTGGGTGCCAGCAGCCAGGAGAGGTGGCAGGCCGTAACAACCAGTCTCTCCACCCGCAAGATGGACACCTAGAGTTTTACAAGGAGAGGTTTAGGAGGGTCCGTGCAAGAGAGCAGGCAGGGAGCACATGGTCATGGGTCAGGGTCAGTATGTGCTCAGCCCGTGATCGTGGGCAGGGAAGGACACATGTGGGATGTAGTCTTCTAGGCATTCGTTTGCTATCAGGGCATTTCTGGTCAGGCAGTTTGGATGTTCTGGGGTATTGCAAAACAGCTTCATCAATGCCTCAAAGTACAATAAGAAATAAGCACATGAGTTTTAATTAAAACAGGAGCTATGTTAAGCAGTCTTGTCTAGTTCTGATTTTAACTGTTGGGGCTTTCTAACAAAGACATGAAAATGACTTACCTTTAGTGTCTTAGATCTAAGAATAGTGTTCTATTTTCTCCTCCACTAAACAGTATCTTTTATTAAATGCAGCATCTTCTTTGCTCCGTCGTTGATATAGTTAGTTTTGGATTGTTTATTGCCTAAAATTAAGGAAAATGATGTCTCGGACACAAAGGTGATTAGCCAGTAATATATTGAATCTTAGTGAATTAGTAGATACAGATCAGATGACCAGCACTGTGCTGCTATACACGATGGGCAATGCAAAAGAAGCATTATGCCTACCCTAAAGGAAAAACTCTCCTGTTAGAAAATAATTTGAACACAGTGAACAGTATACAACAGTGGGTAATTTAATATTGAATTGTGTGGAACGGATTTGAAGTGATAAGTATAAAGAAAGGAAGAAAAGAGAATATCAATTGTGAAACAGAGCAGTTGGGATTTTTCTAAAATTGTGAAGGTGAAAATATTCATCCGGGCTAAGACTGTGTTCTGTACCAAGAAGCATGAGGATAGGCCTCTAAATACTGTATCGGTAGAGGTGCACCAAATACACATTTTGGCCAAACGCCAGTGACCAAATATTAAAATCATTACTTGCCTGTGGCTAAAACTAGATAGCACCAACATTGAACAAACTTCTAAATTAGAAGAATTATTTCATCCAATAAATAATCAGTATGATTTATTGTTATCTACTGTAGTAATAATATTTTAAAAGTTTAAAATTACAGTACAAAAATAATTTCTTGACATTGTTAGGTGTTAGATTTCTCTTGTAGTCACTGTACTATATATCAGTAATACCAAATGGTCATTCACTTTCAACTAACACATTTAAAAACATCACTAACCGGGGCGCCTGGGTGGCTCAGATGGTTAAGCATCTGCCTTCGGCTCAGGTCATGATCCCAGGGTCCTGGGATCGAGTCCCGCATCGGGCTCGCTGCTCCTTGGGAGCCTGCTTCTCCCTCTGCCTCTCTCTCTCTCTCTGTCTCTCATGAATAAATAAATAAAATCTTTAAAAAAAAAAAATCACTAACCTTTTTGTATGCTACAAAGTGATTCAGGAAACTGTTTTTCAATAAGGTATGCACTAGAGGGATCTAGGATTCATAGTTTAGGCAAATCTCAAAAAACTTCATCCTCTGAAAAGGATCATTTGTACCACTTTATGTTTAAATATTTGGCCTTTTTAGATTCAAGACTATAGGCGTTGCTTTAAGACATCCTTGTAGAGTCTTTTGTTGTGAAGTTTGACTAAACAGAATGTGTTAGGGGTGTCTCAGTTTACTCTTTAACCGTTTTGTCTTAACATTTTTATTATTTTGATTAGAGATTGTATTGAGATTATTGCGTATCTATTTACATAATTAGATATTTTTTCAACTCATGATATTTTGAAGTGGTATTATGTTAAATTCATCATCACAAGATTCTAAGAATTCCCCAATAGGCCATTTTCTTGAAGATTTATAACTTAAATGGCAGTAAATAAGTAAAATTTAAACGTAGCTCTTAAAGCTCTTAAAGAACAAAAATTCAGGGGCGCCTAGGTGGCTCAGTCGTTAGGCATCTGCCTTTGGCTCAGGTCATGATCCCAGGGTCCTGGGACTGAGCCCCGCATAGGGCTCCCTGCTCAGCTGGAAGCCTGCTTCTCCCTCTCCCACTCCCCCTGCTTGTGTTCCTTCTCTCATTGTGTCTCTCTCTGTCAAATAAATAAAATCTTAAAAAAAAAAAAGAACAAAAATTCAATCAAGTCAGTTTTTAAAGATCTAATTGACTTTACTTAGTGGTTAATGAATTAGCATTTCATCTAACAAATGGAAGGATGCTCAGAGGGGTTGTACAAAATAGAAGGCATTTGTAGGCAGAAATGGGGCAGGACAAGGAAGTTATTAGAAAAAAAAAAGAAAGGATTGTTTCAGGCAAGGTCACCTTCCCTTAGAGGAAAAGGCAGGGGGTCTTCTCATGTAGATTACCTCCTTAGTGGTAATCAGGAAATCCCAGACTGATGGGTTTAAAACTCCAGATGCAACTACAGTTAGGTTAGGTGTAAAGTCTTGGTGGGTCTTAGCATAAGGGACTCTATTTTGGGGCCTTTTGTTCCTTTTTTAACAATAGTTATTTTCTAAATGTTGTGAATCCTAATATATAATAGAGTTCTGCAAAGATCGAATTATGATAAAATCTAATCTCTATTATTCTGCCCTAACATTATTTGAATTTATATAAACATTTTTTCCAAGATACAACATTCTCAAGAAAGTAATCTATTTAATGTATTTACCGTTTGTATTAACTGTTGATCTATTTTGCTAAATAATTAAAATTTTTTACTAATTGTTTTATACATAAAATTAATGGTTTTCACAGGCATCATTGATTACTGCACCATTTTATTTTTCTGACTGACAAAAACACATAAGGACATTTTTACTTCATCTAGAATGTTTAGACTTTAAAGTGAATGTTCAGGTAATAACAGTATATCTGAATGACATGATTGTTCTAATTACTGAGGTGGTTACCCTTATTAGATAACATGGAAACAGTGCAACTACAAGATCATTAATCACACACAAATATAAGAAACCTTGATGTTAATTATTTTTTAAATCTTTACTCTTTAGTACCTGCAGGTCAGAGTCTATAGCTTTAATAAAAATTGCTTAAATTGGCTTTGCTGCTGCTTTTTAGGAAAATGTCAGTTACTTAGAGTACAGAATTACCTCTGGTAAAATAACTCATGGGGTCTTCAGATTCTAGTAGGACAACTTCAGCAGGTATGTGACTATTTGTGGGCTAGGGCTTTCTACACGAAGTCTCTAAAAAAAAATGCCATATTGATGACAGGGACTAGTGTTGAGAGATCTTTTCAGTAGATCCTGGCAATGGAAAAGAGTTGACATAAATAACCATATCCTTCCCTTTGAAATGATAATCAATAATAGGAACTTGTAAAACAGTGATTCTCAAACCAGTTGTGCATCAGAATTACCTGGGGAGCTTTTAACAACTACAGATGCTTGGCTCTACCCCTAGGGATTGAGTTTCATTTGGTTACAGTTGGGTCCAGACATCAGTATTCTTTAAAAGCCCCCCAGGTGATTCTAATGTGCAGCCAGAGTTGAGAGCCTATTAGAACTTACACATAAAGCAGCTTTTTCAGCTCTTTGAAGAATCTTTCCCCTGTGAATAGAGCTGTCCTTTCCACTGAATTGCATCACAGTCATTTATCCAGAAATGTTACTTTGATTTACCTGCCATAGTGGTTCCATCAGAAGTTGCTTGGTAAAGATTTACTGTTATCAGTGTTGGGTCAAGATATTTTTCTAAATCTGATTTGAATTAAAATTATATTTTGACACAAGAAGATCTTGTGTTTTCCCCAGTGCCTGAAGCAGTGGTATAGAGCAGGTACTGAATACATTTTTTGCTGGATGAGTAAATGAATTCATGAAATCTTAAATTTGGGTTAACTTTGGGAGATTTGAGTATAGTAGAGTAGGAATTTCTTTAAAAAAAGAAAAAAGGAATTTATTTTTAATTGTTTTTGCCATTTTTTACATGCTTATCTTTTGACCTTTTTTGGTCATGTGCTAGATTCTGTTTGAGTTGCTCCAGACAAAGCAGTGAACAAAACAGACAAAAATCCCTTCTCTCACGGAACTAAATATTTAAGAACAATATATGTATTATCATTATCTGGTGATATGCCCTTTCCCTTTTCTCATTTCATTCTCTTCCTTTTTTCCCCAGAAGCAGGGAAAGGGGTTGGTACTGAGGAGGGGAAGATGGTTGTGATTTTTTATCTGTGACAGACTGGTCAGGGAAGACCTCATGGAAAAGATGCCATTTATAGAAAGATCTAAAAGTTGGTGAGGGAACAAGCCATCTTGTTGTCTGTGAAAATATATTAGGTACAGCAGGCCTGGTATATTCATAAAATATTAAGGATGCTAGTGAGGCTGGAGAAGTGAGCAGAGGAAAAGGTACAAAGAGATATGGTCAGAGAAGTACAGGGCAGGGAGTGGGTGTGGTATAGATTATATAGGCCTTATAGCTATGGTCATTCTTTCACTTTTACTCCAAGTGTGATGTGAGATGAAGAGCAATTGGTTGATTTTGACCAGAGGAATGATATGATCTCACATACATTTTTAACAACATCACTGTTGATTTGAGAATTACAGTAGATGGGCAGAGGCAGGAAGACCATTTAGGATGCTGTCTTGGTAATCTAGGCAAGAAATGAAGTGGACCAAGGTGAAAGCAGTAGAAGTAATA